GGGTGCAATGGTCCTGACGAAACGGACGCTGGATTAACTGGCTTAGGAATAATGGCAGCGGGACGTTGCGGAATAATTTAACGCGACACGGTACACAGGCGAACAATTCACTTGTGTAACTTGTTAACCCCGCAAAATGCATATGTAACCATTGTTACGTAGCCGACGTCTAACTAGTTGCGGCACGCGTAGCGTTGTTGCGAATTTATCGATCAACAAGTAGCGACGATCGTTGTCGCCGCCTTCTGTCTCTCTCTCTCTCTCTCTCTCTCTCTCTCTCTCTCCCTCCCTCCCTCCTCCTCCGTCCCCGTTCTCTACTATTCTACTTTGCGATTTACTGGCGAAATTTACCTACTCGCCAAGTTACGCGGCTTAATTTCTTTGTCCTTCTTCATTCGCTTCGTCTATTCCTCTAGCATCGCAGTTAACCCTCCTTGGGGTTGAAAAATCGAATTCTTATTCCGATTGCAATTTTAATTCTCTCTTTTTCCTTGCGTCTCGCGAAAATCGTTGGTAATGGCTCGAGAGCATCCACGATCGATCTGTCTTCAAACGAGTCTTCACGATTTTGCACGCGCGGTGAAATATTTTTAATAACCCGCGGTGTGCGGAACACAAGTTTCACAGGCCGGAGTGCGTTTCGAAGATTAAAGAGCTACTCTCATTATAAAAGCCGCGAGCCGTTGGGAATGTTTCATTTTGTTCCCATTTTCTTCTGATAGCCTGAAATTTACGAGTTGCCCATCAACTGAAAAACCATCGTGTCCTCGGATACTCTGTCGTCCATTTAGAAATTCAGGAACCGCGCGCGCGCGCGCCTCAGGAACGGTGCTCAATCACCGCCGATAATTCTCGCGACGTAGCGCACCGCTTTGATACACGTTTCTAACGGCGAAGACAGCGACTCGGCAAACGACCAAAGTGGAATTAACCGCCGGCGCCAACGCCGACGCCGCTCGCTGGCGGTGTTTCAGAGCGCGAATGTACCGGCTCCTAATTAACACGCCATAGCGGTGTTACGCCCACTCCCGATCTGTACGACACGAGGACACGTTGTAAAACCCGCGACGCCGCGTCGCGCCGCGCCGTAATGTCGAGCGAGGGAGAGCCCGAGAGGGAGAGAGGGAGGGGAGGCGGGGAGGAGAAGGGAACGCGTTAGCGGAATAGGTAGCGGTACGGCCGCGCTTTCCCGTTTGATAGAAATAAATTTCTAATCGGGAGCGGCGCGCTAATCCAATCTCCGGGGCCACCGGGCGTGGGATTCGATTCGACAGATTCGAAAATCGATACTTTGGCGATGTTGATGAGGACATCGCGCGGGAGGGCTTGAATTATTGAGAGCGCAATTTTAGAAAACGCTCGAGAGGGGCGGGGGGGTTATGCGCTCGGATAAACGGCGCTGGAAATTCCTACGGTATTAATGTGGAAAAAAAACATCAGCGTCACGTCGACGGGGATTCGTTGAATAATTCGGCCGAATATCAAGCGGCTATTAATTCTGCGAGCGTGTACGTGCAGGATGAAGACACACTAGCGCGAGCGTGCGCGGTGGCGGCTGGTAAAATTTCCAGCGAATAACCGATCGCGATCTCCGGCCGTGTGAAATTTATTAATGTTGCCGTCGCCCGCCGGGGCCATCATCATAGCGCGGCCCGGCGCGGCATTTTCGTTCGGCCGGTCGCCGCGTTGCTCTGTAATCTCGTCAGATGCATTTGCACGCATTGCAGTCGCGAGAGCTGCACCAGACGCGATCGTTAGATAACCGCATTCGGAGCTTTCGGCGCGGCGAGAACGCTATACTCCGACTGCCTCCCCGGCCGCCGTCGCTTCGACTCGCTATCGGGCTCTCTCTTCCGGCCTTCCGGCATGCAGCGGCGAGATACGCCGCAGGCATAATAAATTTCGCACAAAGCATAATGGAACGGTGCGCCGAGTCGCGATATCGGACTCGCGGCTAACGACGTAAAAATAGAAACGAATTGCGGTTCGCCGAGCGGCGAAAGGAGTAACGCGTCACAGTTACCGTCGCCGCCGCCGCCGCCGCCGCCGCCGGCGACGACAACGACGGCGGCGGAGGCGGCGACGGAGGCGGCATCGCCGTCGCCGCGACCTCGTAAAGCGACCAGATATGCGAGAGGAACCGCTAACTTAATGATTTATGTCGCGCATGCAACGTCGCCCGCCATTTCGAATCTTATGTTATATGACCGTCTAGCGTTACATGCACGTATATACGTGTATACATACACACGTGTACAGTGTGTGTGTGTGTGTGTGTGTGTGTACACACGTATAACCCGCGCTATGGATTATCCCCCGCTGACCTAAGTGAAACTTATCGTCGCGGGCGATAAGAAGGGAACCAACTTCGTGCTAGCTAGCTAGCTAGCTACCTAGCCACCCACTCACCCCCCGTCGCACCCCCGCGAACTTTGCCGGAAGATGGTCGAGTTTCCAGCTGTTACCGGAAAATACGACCGCGAGCGACGAGCGACGGCGGAACGAATTTCGGGGTATTTCCTACGACGCGCTCGGAACTCTCTCGCTCGGTCGCTCGCGCGCGCACTTGTCCCGAGTGTCTTTCTTATAAATATAATCATATTACATTTCCGGAGATGCTCTTCCTCTCTCGGAGAGCTGTAGTCGACAGGAGGGACTGGGGGGGGGGCGGGGAAGAGCGATTGCAACTCTGCCGGCAGTCGCGCCGGTTGACGACGTCGACCAGAGAGAGACGGCAATTAACGACCACTGCCGCGGTTTTAATCGGATATTCCAAAGCCGACGGGCTATCCATGAATTTAATTACCGGCTAGTCCCGCGAGGCTCGGGAGAGCTCCTTCCTCGTTTCCTTTTTTTTTTCTTCTCTTTCCTTTTCGCCGACGAAGACACGTTAATTCCATTTTCATTGAAACAACGCTCGCTTGCACGCGCGTACCAATTCGCTACAACCAAGCCCCTCCCCCGCCCCACCCCCCACACCCGTATTTCTGTTCTATGCATTCGTTGCCGCGCAATGACTCGTCCTCTTTTTTCCCCTCTATCTCCCTCTATCTCCCCTTATCTCCCTTCTTCCCCCTCTCTCTCTCTCTCTCTCTCTCTCTCTCTCTCTCTCTCTCTCTCTTTCTTTCTTTCTATCGCTCTCTTCACCATCCATCCCTCTTCGCCTTTCGTAGGGGTTGCTTCCCTCAATTCGCCGGCGCTTCGTTATTCACGAACCGCCGCAAGAGCCCCCGGTACACTTTCTCTCCCCCTCTCCTCCTCCCTCATGGCTCCACCCGGTAAATAAATAACGGGGCGGCGGATTGCAAATATCTGTTCGACTGTCGGATGTGAAATATTGCCGGAATTTGCATCGTAAACTCGGTTATCCGGCCGGCTCACGCCACCGCGGGCGGAACACCTGAAATCCTTCCGCCAAATAAGGACGAACCTTCTCCTCCTCCTCCTCCTCCTCCTCCTCCTCCTCCTCCTCCTCCTCCTCCTCCTCCTCCTCCTCCTCCTCCTCCTCCTCCTCCTCTTCGAGGGCGGGGAAGAAGAACGAGCGAGGATCGCGATCGAAATTTCGGGCGTGTGTCTTGGTGCAGTTTACAAGGAAAGTTTAGCTACGGACACGACGTTTAGTTACCGCCGCGCGGAGAGTTTGCAGTTTCAGTTACATCCGCGAGCTCGAGCCTCAACTTATCGACGCTCGCGTGCTGTGTCGGTGAGGGGGCAGAGGAGGAAGATCGATTCGTCTGGGAATGATGAGGGAGGTGGCGTCGCGTTTGCGTTGGTCGCGAGCAGAAAGAGACAGAGAGAAAGAGGAAAAGAGCGCGAGAGAGAGAGAGAGAGAGAGAGAGAGAGAGAGAGAGAGAGATGGAGAAGGAGAAAAGGAGGACCCCGCGGCTCCTGCGATTCCCGCGGTCGCGAAGCTCACTTGTATGCGCGTATTTACTTTTTAGCTGCCGTCCGTTATATTTTCGCGAGGCTGCGAGATATATAACGACCGCGACGCGACGTTACCGGAACGGAACGCGACGGGACAGTGCGGTGCGGGGGCGGGGGTGCCGAGAGCGTCGTTGCATGTAGGTTAAGCCGATTGGGAATTAAGTGGAGTTACATTACGGCCCTCTCTCGCCGCCGGTCGCGCGGGAATTAGGTTGAATATCCAATTCGCGGCCGAGTAGACGCCTCACCTGTGCGATTTGGATTATGAGAATCTTCTTAAAGCCGTGAATAGTCGCGTTGGGGTTGCTCCGGCCGTTTGGAACCCCGCGAGGAATAATCGGCGGTGGTAAGGGGGGTGGGAGGAGAGGTGCAAGGCCCGCGGCAGGGAGGGTGGCAGATAGGACACAGAAGAGCGAACGGGGTGAATTTATCTCCGTCGCTGCTCCGGGCGGCGTCTCCTTTCTGTCTTGGGATGGTTATCGTATAACGATTCGCCGGCGTCCCCTATCAAAGCCGAAGTTTCCTCGTTTAAGCCCCTAATCGAACTCGCAGAGGTCTAGACCGCTTTACGGCCTCTCCTCTTCTTATTTCTTTCGCAAAAAATACCGATATAAAAATCCGGCTGCGCTAGACACCGAGAGCGAGAGCGAGCAGCGGCTTTCATCTTTCTTTGCGGGTTTTTCGGTCAGTTTGATGTCGGTGATTGCTTATCGGAGAGATCGGAGAAAAAAGTCGCGCGTGTTCGTCGCTGATTTTTTGTCGATGCTAATGAATAATGTCGAGCTGCTCGTCGTTACGGATTACGAGGCAGCCAAAGTCGATGAAAAATTCAACTTGATTAAGGATTAAATCGGAGCGAAGTCGTCTCTCTGTGCTTTTAAGCTATTGAATTTTCGAAAAGTTTCGTTCTCTTGTTATTAATCTTGTTATTATTAATTTCATTATTTTCCGCGAACTATATATATATATATATATATAACACGCGCGAGCTCTATTTAAAAAATGTGTTGAACGACTGGGATCATTCGTGTATAAAATATAAGACTCGCTGCAAATAAAAATGTTCAACTTACCGTGCGTCGAGCGAGTCGGAATTAACGGAACGGTCGTCGATAGGCGGACTTACCTGCGAAAGAGAGGAGAAAATTGTCGAGTTATGAATCGAGTTAACAAAATCAATTGGATTAATTAAATTAAGTCAGTCGCAAATGAAGCGACGGCGTTTTATGGGGCGTTCAAATCGCCCGGGGGAGCCCCCCTCAATCCCACAGCCGTCGAACTTTGCACCGGCAGAAAAATCTACCGTAAAGCGATCGGAGGATCTTCGGATAAAGAACGGCTCGCCATATCCGAATCTTACCGATCGCCGCGTTACGCCGAAAGAAGATAAATTTAGCGGCGCGACTAGGCGCGACTAGATGCAACGTCTCATAATTCTTTCGTGTACACAAACTCGAGATGCCGGGCGCTCCGGGATTATCGTAGGTTTCGGCTTATGGAGGAAACCTAGACGTATTTTTATTAATACGCTGAAGTTTGCGAGCACCTGCGACGCGTTCGGTTAATGCGCGGCTTTTTTTCTCGGGAGGAACGTCTCGCGGTCGCGACATGTTAACCCTTTGTACCCGGATTATGCTTTTCCGCCGCTTGACAGTCAGCTTGAGATTAATTTTTACGTATGCTCGCCGCTCGCGCGGATGGCGAAGAGGATCAGAGGACAGGACGAGACGTCTCACTTTTCCGAGGGAATTTGTTCCGATGTCAGAGACAGAGCGAATCCTCCATGACGTCTCGGCTATGACAAAACCAAATTGAATACAAAGACCTTTGCGGAAATGCAAATTAAATGTATAATGAATAAAATATTTTATTTCCAAATGGAATATAAAAACGTTCTCGCGCGGCAATACGAATTAAAAATTAAACGTATATAACGGATGAAATTACAACTTTCAGTTGCAGAGACGATTTTTCATTGATCCTAGGTGTGTGTTAACCCTTAAGCTGCAAAAAGCATATGTATTTGCTCCCGGAAGGTAACCGTTTACTCGCGAAAGGCATACAGAGCTCCATTAATGCATTTCCGTTCCCTCTGATCATAGTGATATCGAAAATTGCCAACCAAGCGCATCATATCGGAATTTCGCGCGCGCGCGTGTGTGTTTCGTAACTCTTAATAATATTAGTTATGGATAAATTAATATAGAATAATATTGGTTATTAATACCGGTTATCAATATTATTTATGTTAGTTAATTAATATTAGTTACGAAAGTGAGAAAAAGATAAGCACAATAAATCTGACGAAATTAAACCAGAATCCGAAATATCCAAGTCTCCCTTTTAAAATTCAATTTTATATTAATCTAGCGTTATATGTAATATTTGTCTCTCTTATCTTTCCTTCGCGTTCAATTTACTCTTATATAGCTGTTTTCGGACATCCTTTTCTTGTTGTAAATTTATAGTGGACACTCGAAGCAACATATCGACACCGCCCCTGCATTTCTCGCGCCATAGCTTGAACGTAAAGCCATCAAACTAACACGTATGGCGACAAGAGTCAACAAGTTTGATTGTCGATTTACCGAGCAGTCATGAAGCGTGAATATTCAAGTGCAAATCTGCTTTTACAAACTCCGCACGTTTTTGTAGTCGTATAGTCTCCCGCGGCTCGAAGATGCAGCGTCGAGTCGTTCGATGCTCGCGTCGATGCGACCACGCGGCCTCACAGCTGTTTAAAGGTCCAGCGCGCACGTGTCACAGCGAGAGCAACGACCGCGCACCGCGCATGCGTCGCTTGCTTAAATGTCCCGTGGCCAGCTGATGCAGCGCGCGAGTGGGAGTAAGGCCGCGCGTATGTGAGATCGTTGACCCGATTGGAACACGCGCGAGCTTGTCTCCACTTTTATTAATCTCGCGAGACTTATTTTCGCACCCATGTCACTTAATCTGGCGCTCTTAATACTGCCTCGGCGATAGTCGATTTCTTCTTTAACCCCTTCCGTGGCACGGACGCACCGGTGCGGTGCGTTCAGCCAAAACCGTGCCGTAAGTGGCACGGTTAAACATTTAGTGAATTTCTATATTTTGACCTCAAATTCGGCTTCAGCGACCAAAAAAACTGAACTGAATACAAATTATTGAAAAAATCCGCCCCGTCATTTTTTGTGGGGCGGTTTCAGTGCATTTTACTGAATTTTGCTCTGCCACGGACGGGGTTAAGACCTTCAGGAGAGAGAGCCTCGAAATAAGATTCGTTGGGAAGATGAAGCTTTGTAATTTTCGATAGACGTGTAGTTGTCCCTTTCCGATGCAGGATTCGGTTAATAATATTAAATTATCCTTCTTGTGGGAGAGAGTTTCGCAATTCGCGACGCGGAACTTGATGGAATGGAAGTTGATGTATAATTCTAAAAGTCGCGTTTGAAAAAGCGTACAAATTCGTATGTGTGCGCGGCGCATCTGCAAATATGATACTGATTCTTCAAATGTTTCCGCGCAAATGGAATTCCGGCCCGAATTCCGTCGGCGCGCTGCGGACATATCTAAAGCGCGCAACTTTGCAGTCACGTATGCGCGCATCTGCAGATGTAACTCTGATTTTTCAAATATTTCGCTATATTACGCGGAATGCGCGCATAAAATTACAAACGGAGGATCCAGCCCCGGAATTCTGTGTCGTGCGCGTTGCGGACGACGTTTGAAGCGTGAGCTGCGGCGGAGGCGCGACGCCGAGCAAAGTTGCAAACGAAATGCGTGCGCGCTTGCATGTGTTATGCTCGCGCACGAGAGAGGGAAAGAGAAAGAGAGCGAGCTGTCCTAACAGAATATCACTCTGCCTCGCGTGCCCTCTCGCGCTCTTGCTCAATTAGTCCCTTCAATTTATCGCGATGACAGAACGCGCGCGCGAAACAGTCGCCGCTTCCCAAACAGCCAAACTTAGACGCAGCTGCAGGACACGGTCGGGCGGGCGGGCGGGCGGAAGAAAACTTCTGTTTCCGCGGGCAGAAGCGGGAGGGAGAGAGAGAAAGAGAGAGAGAGAGAGAGAGAGAGAGAGAGAGAGAGAGAGAGAGAGAGAGAGAGCGAGAGAGAGCGAAACTGACAGGGAAAAGGGAGAGGTAGAGCGCGGGTACGTTATTTCCATTTAAAGTGGGCTTTACAAACTGGGTTGCAATAAACATAGCTCGGCAGTTACCGTGCCAACCAGCCAGCCAGCCAGGTTGTGGCTGGTGCAGCAACTCCCTCCCCCCTTTCGCCAACCCTCTCGCCTTGCCGGGCTCCCGCGCCGCGTCCCGCGCGCGTAGCGTCGCGCATCGTCAACCCTCTTTCCCTTCCGGCCTCTTTTCTCCTCGCGTCTCCGCCCCGGCCCACCCTCGCCGGCGCTCGGGCTCGGCTGCAACTTTAATACCGACACGGACAGAGTACGTTAAAGTGCTCTGCACGCACGCACGCATGCACGCACGCACGCACGCACGCACGCACGCACGCACGCACGCACGCACGCACGCACGCACGCACGCGACATCGGCTCCCGCGAGCCGCGCGCGCGCGGGTGCGGCGCGCTGAGTCGTGTGTCGTGTCGTGTCGTGGCGTGGCGTGTCGTAAACGCAAACGAGGATGAACGAGCACGCTGGCCGACCCGGCCGAGTGCGCGCGCGATATCGCGCGGGGTTGAAATAGCACGCAGCCACGCCTGGCGATCTCGTAAATCCGGCTAAATACCCGCCGGACCCTTGGCGGACGGACGTCTTAATTCTGGTGTCCGAGATAGCGCACGGGCTAATATCAGTTGGCGAGGTCGTTGCGTCAGATCGATGCGGCCTGGAGCGTTATCCCGTTTGGTCGCGGAGCAAGTCTCCGGAGGTAACGGAGCTTCCTCGTCGCAGAAAAGAGGAAACCGACGAAAGTTCGTCGCGGTCAGGCGGCTCGTCGCAGCCGACAAGCCTTGTTTTCTTTCGCCCGGTCTCGGCGAATTATCTTCTTCTTCATTCCGCCGATGTCATCGAGAGCCTGAGCGCTTCGCGAGGACGCGCGATCGATCCGCCGGGGAATCCGCGATAGGCTTATCACGGGCTCAGCAACGGAAACGCGGAACGTGAACCGAAGGGCTCCTCCGCGCTCTCGCGTGTCGCCAGCCGCCGCAGACGCGCGGAGCTGGAAAAAGAGCTGCTGTTGCACCCCCGGAGGCGACGCGTACGTCAAATCCTTCGTTTTTATAGGCGGAGGTGATAAAAGCGGCCGGAGGGACGACGAATGCGGCAGACGGCGGCGGCGGGGGGAGGGGGAGTGGCGGGCGATCTGACGCGTTAAAGGCCGACTGATCGTTTTCCGTTCGCGAAGCGAACTCTCCCTCTCCGCCCCTGCCGCCAACTTCTCGCGGATTTGCATGCCCAGACGTCGTCGTCGTCGTCCTGCGGCGTCGTCTACGTCGCCAGCCCGCCGACGACGAAAGCGATAGAGCCTCGGGCGACGTTATTTTAAGCGTCGCGTATATACAAGCCTAATACGATATGCGCTCGTGCATCTTTCATGAAACGCGCGACACACGGCCGCTTTTATTTCGGGGAAGGAGGGGGGGGGGGCGACGCCTATTCGTCTCGTCTCGCCCGCAACGTCGCGGAAAACGGTCAGGCACCGGTGATATTTAATTAAACGACGCGGATGAGAAGTAAGAGAGAGAGAGAGAGAGAGAGAAGAGGAGTTTATAGGATCTTGGACATTTTTCTATCGTATTATCGGCTGACTGCGGATTATTCGGTCGCGTTGCGGCTGTCCCGACGCGTCTGGAGAAGCCTTCTTTAGAAAAGCTTTTTTTGCCTGTCTCGGGAGACATTTTCGAAAGAACGTGCTTATGTATTTTCGTCCTCGTTAATCTTAGACAATCATCTCGTTCCTGAAATATAGCTCGCGCGACTGGAGGAGAGTCGGCGGAGGGTGTTATAATTCACGAGCGATATGAGATTCCTTCCCCGCCCGCGCCCCTTCTGTCCTGATGTCGCGTCAAAGCGACATGTATTTCTGCAATTAATTTGGAGCTATATTGATAGCGTCGTGCGCGCACTGCAACTGACGTTGGGTAAATATCTCAGATTGAAGATCATTCGATCCGTCGAGTCGCGTAAT